GCTAACTTGGTTTTGGGAAGTCTTATTTATTGCATTAATAGAAATACTTTCTTCCCAGACCAAGTAAAATAGTATAAAAGGGTTATGCTTTAATTTGGGGTGTCATGTAAAGTTGCTTCAAATATATTCATAGTTTCTGAGTGGTATTAGGGAATAACACCCACTTAGAAATGGAAACCTTTTATGGTACCTTCCTTGTATATCACATGATGAAAATACAAGATGAATTTCAAGACTAAAAATCACATACTGACTCTTAAGTTTTTAGAACAGAAGCAAATTCCTCCAGTCCCTCTGTGTGCACAGTTAGTGTCAGGAAGGCTGTGAGGCTGGCTGCCGATTCAATCCTTAGTAAATGACTTTTGTGATTTTATTTGAAAAGGCAAATAACAGTATTTGCCATGAAGTTGTTCTTATTTTCTTGGGTTCTGGCTGGGACCTCTGCATGTCTCATACCACATTTGTCAGTGGAATCCGTTCCCACATCATACTGAAGCCCATATTCTTGTGTGAAGGGTGCATATAGGTTGTGTGTCCCCAAGGCCCGTGAGTAAGGGAGCAAGAGCTGAGGGTCATTACTGGTGAGCGGCATGACGCTTCTTTTCACCATTTTCTTTTGTTCTGGAGTATAGCACTGAGGGCTTTTCTTTCATCTTTTTATGAAAGATCATGGCTGTGCTTCAGGGTAACTGTAATACCTTTTATACTTGACTCTTTCTCCCATATCAAGTTAATGATTTCTTTATGTTGCTCTTCATTTTTAAGCATATTGAGGTAAAATATTTATTTTGTCAGAAAGAAGCAATACCCATGTGTCCTTTTTAATTGCTTCATTCTTAGCCTACCTCCTTTGGCTGTGAGCAGCTTAATAGCTAAAGAGCAGTCAGTTTTTCCTTTTAATTTTGCTTTCTTCTGAGTCCTTTTTCACGAATTGAGAGTGAAATAGGAAAAATGCCATTCATGAAATCTTGCCTCTAAAAACATACATCATTTAGTATTCCTTTCCTCTCAGCCCCAGACATTGCATTAAAATAGGCCTTTTATCATTATGAACTTGCTACAATAAGATAGTATCTCATTCATTGCTTTGTGTATTAAGAATCAGAAGGTAAATGTAACTGGTATGGCTTTTTTTTTTTTTAAGTTTTTATTTATTTATTTTGAGAGAGAACACAAGCGGGGTAGGGGCAGAGAGATAGGGAGAGAGAATATCCCAAGCAGGCTCCCAGCTGATGCAGGATTCCAACTCACAAACCATGAGATCATGACCTGAGCAGAAACCAAACATTGGATGCTCGACCCTCGAGCCACCCAGGTACCCCTAACTGCTATGCTTTGGAGTTGGATTATCATTACTTGTTGAGTTGCCACATGCCCACCCCTCACTCCAAAGTATTTCCCATTATCCAGGACTTCATACGGTATGACATTATTGGCTTAAAGTGTGTATTTTTGCTGCAAATTGAACGATCTGCATTATAACTTATATTCTGTGGTTTGCCCATAATGTACAGGAAAGTGGCCTTGAAGAAGGCTCTGTAAAGGAGCATTTGAATTGAACACTGACCTTATGTGATCCACCTGTGACAGCTTCAGTATTTTTCTCAGTGCCTCTGTATAATACTATAGGCTGAAATGCCTGTAAATAGCAAATTAAATGAACCTTCCATTTTCTAGGACTGTAGTATGTTTAAAGCAGTCAGTATCACTGGGGGGAATGCTGACCTTGGATTCCAAAAGAATTTATTAAACCTATTGAGCTTGGTCTTTCCACATTTTTAAAGGTCTGTAAGTTCACATGCTTGAGTCTCCGCCAAACAAAAGTGTCTTGTGTGTACTATTTTAACATCTCATACCCAAACAAGTGTTTTTGGTCGAACTTAACTACCTACTCAGATTTTGGGATGGTCTAGTGAAGGCAGTAGATGAACCTTGTTCTCAGGGAACATCAACATTCTTTTCTCTTGGAGCATTGGTAGGAGTAATCAGAGAAACCCTGCCCAGTCTTTACCCTGCTCCAGAAGAGTAGGCCCTCCTGTTACCTCATCAGTAGAGCTGATGAACTGATGTTTAGATAGGCACACTTTATAGGTGTACTGAGATTATTCAGGCAGTTAGATAGAAATAGAGAACTTTTGAAATGGTTTATGTGATACCAAGTAAATAGAAATGATTCCTTGGGTGATGATTTACAATCAAAGCCTTTTAAAAAGCCTTTTAAAAATACCAAATATCAAAGCCATTTAAAATAATTTATGATGTTTTAATAAAGTCACAGTTTCTAAATCTGTTACTAGAGATGCTTATATTTGTATCCCGCCTCTTCCTAAAATTACATTTGATATAGCTTATTTCAAATAAAGAGAGACATGATAAAATAAGGTAGATGTAGAAAATCAGGAACCAGGAAAAGAATAATAGACAATCTTGAACTATAATTGCCATGACTGAGTTTGGATTTGGCACTGAACTTCCTGGTAGCAAGAAGGAAAGGATGAAATACAGTTGTATAGTTCTTGTCCTTAGAATGGAGGGAGAATGCCCCCCCCCTTTTCTTTCATGGGAAATAAGCCTGTGCTAAAGATGTGAAAAGACTCCTTACATGGGGCTTTTATGTATTTATACTTAAGGGTCAGTGAATGATTAAATATATAGGGTTGCTCAACATTTTAATACAGTATACTGACAGACACCACATTATTTTCCTTTAAAAAAATTTTTTTTTAATTTTTGTGGTTTGTCTCTTAAAAGACAAGGTCATATTCTTCAGGTGCAAACAGCTGTGATCTGGTGAGGAGCCTACCTGGCATGTGGCCTTCAGCCTCCCAGTGACATAATTGGGGAGGACAGAGGGCTGTGAGTCAAGTGCTTCCTTCCGATCATCCAGTATAGCTTTATCCTTTCTTTTTAAAGACAGTGTACAACTTTTGTTTATATTTTAAATGTATTTTATAAAGAGTAATGTTTACTTATTTTTACTCACTTTAGTAAAGTTTTTTTTCCTGTTAGAGAGTTTTGTTCATATACATTCATTATGGTTGTGACATGTGGATTCATTTTAACTGCTGCATTTTGTTCTCTTTCTCCTTAACCCTCTGCTTCCATCCCTCCTCTGTTTTTAACTGTCTTGACTCCTTTGCATGGATTGAGTCCTCTCGCCTCCTCTTCTCCACCCCCCACTCCCCCCAACTCTCCCCCCACCCCCCTTGTTTGGAAGTGGTAAACTCTGTTTTATTAGTAGTGGTTCTGGATATTTTAGCATGCATGTTTAACTGAGTGGTTGAGGGTTAATCAGTATCTTTTCCTCCTTCTGAAACTATGTAAGAATCTTAAAATGCTTTGACTTCAGTCATTCTCCAACTTAAATGTTACTGTTGTCCAGTACTTTGGTTCTTGTAAGTTTTAGTCCCATGAGTTAGGTACTATTGGTATTGCTGAATGCATTTTTTCAACTTTGCTTAAATTGTACTTGATACATTATTTTCATTGCTTCTCATTTCTTCTTTCGTGTTGTTAAGCCTTCTGTCTGGAATTATCTCTTCTTCCTAAAGCATCTTTGTTACAAACTTAGTAGGGGGAGGGAAGATCTGTCTGGAGTAAATGATTTTGGGTTGTTTTTAGTCTTTATTGTGCCCCAAATCTTAGAGATAACAGTTTTGTTGAATGTATAGTCCTAGGATTATCCCCCTGCCAGGTCCCCAACTCCAGTGATTTGAAGATACTATTTCCCCATCTCTGGCATCCGTCATTGCTGTTAAGTCATCAGTCAGTCTTTCTGAGCTTACTTTGTGGATAATTTGTATTTACTTTCTGTTTTTAAGACCTTGTTTTAAAACTAGAGTTTTTGTTGTTGTAAAGATTCACTGTAGTATGTCTGGTTATGGATTTCTTTTTATTCCCCTATTTAGACTTTGTGTTCCCAAATCTGAAATTTATATTTCATCCACTCTGAAAATTTTTCATTCTCTCTTTCACTATTGCCACTCCCCCTTTCTCTGTCTTTGTTTCTGAATCCCTCATGGTTGAATAGTAGATACTTTCAGTGTAATTGCATGTCTCTTAATTTTGTGCATTGTCTCCATATTGTGAAAATTTCTTAGTTTTCCCGAATAAGTTCTTAAGTTTGATTTTACAGGTTAGTACATCTCTTTTTAACAGTACGTGATATATACTAAATTTCTAGGAGGTATAGAAGTTACAGATTTTCTCTTGAAGTTCTACTTTGATCCTTCTTAAATATGGCTAGTCATTTTTTACTGTATTTTAACTTTGTATGCTTGCTTTTCTTTCATTTCTGTTAACATAATATATTTTTTAATACTCTAGTTTTGATCATTTGAGTATCTGTAGTCATTATGAATTGTTTTGCTTACTCCTGCCCAAGATAACTTATTTCCTTGTGTACTTCCTGCATTTTTTATTGTAAATTTACCTTCCTGGAATTTTGTATATGAGAATTCTTTGAGGCCCAGGCTTGGATGACCTTCTATCAGAGAAAATTTCCATTTATAGTTGCTTCTGCCGGTTGCTTAGGGACACCTCACCTTGTGAGGGCCAAGGTGTATTGGTCCATTAAAAACCCAAATTCTAATCACAGAATGGAACATATCCATTTCTCTATTTCCCACCCCTGTGCAAGCACTGTTTTCAGTGGTTTCTTTTATAAAACTTTGAATTTCTGCTTTCTTATGTCTAGCCTCTGATAATTTCCCTCAATTACCTGGTTAGCCCTGCATCAAAAACCAAAAAAGAGTTGGAAGGTATAAATTGCAGAGTATAAAATTCACACCTACCCCTGTTAAGTATACAACTCTGATTTTTACTAAATTTGTAGAAGTATGCATCCATTACCACAATCCAGTTTGGAATTTTTCTATCATCCATGCATACTTCATTTTTTGGTAAGATATTTTGTTACTCCTAATAAGGTAGCCAACACCCTTTCCTCAAATTGGAAAGTTGGAGGCTTATCCTCTGTTCCATCATCATTTCTCTTGTGGATTTGGGAATAACTGGTAGAAGTTTCTTGAGTGGTTCTGAAATTTATATGATGTGTAGTTGGGACTTCTCACTTGATGCATGTCAAGTTTACAAAGTTGAGTTACTGTTATTTTGGACTTGTTGAGAGCTCAGACTCAACCATTTTAAAGAGGAGAACTTAGGTGGTAGCATGACCCAGAGCCACAATGGCAAGTAATGCAGGTTTTGAGCTTCAGCCTCTTGAGCTTTATGGTTATGGTTGTGGACTTGAGCTCCCTTTTCCAAAGTTCTTTTCACTTGTTTTACTCCCCACAATGGGCATAGGCTGTTAGGTTATTAATTTACCACCAAGAACAAAAAGAAATCTCACTTCCTGCAGAGGTTCCAGAGTAAGGGGCAGTGGAGACCCTCAGCCAAATATGAAGGAGAAGCAGTTACTGAGGGCCATGGGAAGAAACTTGTGCTGACCTTACACAAATTTAACCTTCATTCAAAAGTCATCAACACATGTATAATAGAGGAGAAATTGTCATAATGGGTTTTTTCCCCACTATGGAACTTCATAAATTTTATTTAAGAAGAGAAAATCTAGTATAAAGGCAGAGTTTTCCTAAATGAAAAGTTGTCTTTTTTGTAGTGTGCAGATGTCATATTTGTTGATATGACACAGCCTGGCTGTGACATTTCTTTTTTCCTCCACAGCATAAATTGTTACTGTGCTATTCCTAAAATCAGCAAAAATCCAGGGCTTTTTTTTTTTTTTTTTTTTTTTTAAATCAGGGAGTTGCTGGTTTTCTGAAATGTTCTGCTCTTCTCTAAGGTCCAAACTTCCACAGTGTAGGCATAGGTAGTACAAGAGGCCTTCATGATTTCAAAGCTTATGATTTCATAGGTCATAGTGTCAGTCTTAGGCCACCTCTTGAATTAGCAAGAATCAAAGACATTTAAACTGTTAATACACAAGTTACCGTGATAGCAGAGATATTCCCAGAGAAAATCTAGAAGTAACTGCAGAGTGTTCTGCCAGGTTCTCTGGAAGTTTGGTCTATGTATTTTTAATTTAAACTTGAGTCTCTTCTTCAGTCTCAGTATGAACTGCTCTCCCAAATTTCTAGAACCCCAGAAGGAGACATTTAGGAAACCCCTCCTCTCAGCCTCCCCTTTCACTGTTGTCAAGCGTGGCACTAGTATATGAGGTTAGCGTCTCAGAGAGCTACGGTTGAGATGTTGCATTTGCACATTTGTCATTGTTGGAAGTGAGTAGCCCTGTCCCTGGAGGGTGAATAGAAGCTCATTCATCTGAAGAAGACTGTCAGTGACAGGCGCTCTCTCCCTCCTCCCAGGCCAGGCAGGGCAGCCTCCTGAAACAGGCAGTGTACTCTTGTGGAACATTACTGCTTCAGCAATACATCAGAAACCATTTAAGTAAGGTTTTAAAATAAAGAACAAGTCTTGCATAGCCTTTATTTTGTTAGGAATTGTATCAGGAAACAGGAAAGATGGTTTACAGAGGTCAGCCATTTCAGCCTTAGCCACCCACACTCTCATGTATCTGATCTGTAATAGATAATAGTTTACATAATCTTTGCTTCTTACTTTTCTGGATCTTACAGATTCATAAAATTGGGTGAGTGTAAATTGAAATAAAATGATGCTAGTAGTGAATAGAGAGAGTAAGGATAGAAACAGAGTGACAGACTTCCCTGAATTTTACACTTGGCTGGCCTCCCACATAGTGGGAGTGGGGTGGGAGTGCTGGGTATTAGTATGCTCACCTCACCAGGAATCTTTGTTAGTCTCAAATTACTAATGTAGTGATGAGCCCCAAATTTTATATTTGTTTTTCAAAATGCCTTCTTAAGGAATTGAAACAGTGGGAATTACAGATTCACGAACATATCTAAGTTAAGCTTTCTCCTGCACTGTAGCATCATTGAGGGATAATGTTTTTTAAACATTTTATATTTTACAAAATAGAGTTTTGGTTATGTTTTGCAGTAATTTTTAAACAAAAAAAAATCTGCATAATCAACTGTATTATCATGAAGACTAGTGCCTGTTTGCTCAGGTCCAGTTGATAGTAGAAAGTGGAATTGTAATCTTTAGGGGAAATATGTTACTTCTGTATATGATTTTGAAGATCCCTAAACATTAAAGATTTGACTTAATTTCTTATTTCTTTACATTTTATATTTAAATTACGTTAGTTCTGTTGTTTCTCCTTATGATTAGGCATTGCAGGATTCTGATAGTTAGCAGTCTTCCAGAAAGCTGATAATCCCTAATCATAATACTGCAAACAACAGCCATAATAGTACGTAATTTTTCTTTTGCCTGTATGTGCTTAAGTTGGGTGGAGGAGTGAAAATCAAAGGTTATCACCATTGCCCTTGTTTACTCTGGCATTTAAATTCCCGGAAAGTGCCTTTGATATTAAACTGCCTACGCTTCTGTCATTCATAACTCAATTTGCAACCGGGGGGGGGGCCCGAAGATGTGTCTTAGCACAGCGTATTCATTTGGTCCTTGGTATTACCAATGGGGTTGGCAAGCCTGTTTATGTAGAAACATGGGTAAGTGATCACAGTGCTCACAGTCGCTACAGAGCAAGGTTCTCACCACGGCCAGGGCTTCAGCTGAGGAAGTCTGACACAACTTGGAAAGATTGTTTCTGGCTACTGGAGCAGTGTCCTTAAGATACTTCGGACAGAAAGGAAAAGAGTTCAGTTCAAATAAAGCAGTACCATTCAGAAAGGAGTTCAGCTTTCAGTGCTTTTGAGAACCTAGTTGAAGGATAGTTTTCTTCTAACTGTGGGACATCATCCCTGTTTATTTTTCCATTTCTGATGAATATGGCCTTGTGTATATCTTGATGTTATCTTAATACTATTTTTTTTTTAATTTGAAAAATAGCTTTGTGTTTAAATAAACCTCTTGGCTTAGTAAGCAGCCATTCACCTGTAAAATGAGAATAGCATCTTAGAATTTCTATTTCTTTTCTTCAAGAACCAGCTACATGGTATATTTGTAATTGAGGATACCAACTTTTCTTTCTGAATGCCCTTGATTCCTTAGCTTTTCTCATGTTGTCGTCCACACCATGAGAACTGCCTTTCTACTGTTCAGGCAGGTAAGAGAGCATGGTAAAGCCTATGAGTTACATGCCCTGGAATCTCATTCTGCCAACAGTATGACCTGTGTTACAAGTCAACATAGTCTCCTTAGCACAGAGACTTAAAAAAAAAAAAAAAAAAAAAAATTGTCCTCCTAGGTAGGTAATTAATTTGAGAAATAAAATACCATTGGTGCTCTTGGCATGTGTTCTATAAAAGATCAGAGGTGGGAGTGGGTAAACATTGTTTTCCTTAGGGATCAAAAGAAAAATCTTTTAAGAACTTTTTATGGTGTTCCTTCTTCTAGGTTGCCAACTTGGCCTGTTCCATCTCAAACAATGAAGAAGGTGTAAAGCTTGTTCGAATGTCAGCAAGTCAGCTAGAAGCTCTCTGTCCTCAGGTAAGGTATGACCAAAATTGTTTATGGTACCACTGAATTGGAGTTTGGTTACATTGGAGATCAGGTTTATTTTTTTAATTTTGTTTTTAGAATTTTACATAGAAGTCTTGGGGACAAAACACTGATCCAGAGTTCACAAAGCTTGTAGAAATTTATGTTCAGCTTCAAGTGACATTTCCTTGGGGCATCACATATTACTATCCCTTGCCTTTCATTAAAAATGGATAGTGTCTTTCATTGCTGGCAAGTGGAGGATGTGTAGTGACCTCACTACTCAGTCTGTAACCTCCTTGAGAGAGGGCCATCTGCAACATTTGACAGTCCTGGATTTAGGGTAGTTACCTCACAAACCTGAAGGAGTAAGTTACCCACCTATGCTCCTTAATGCCTGGGATTTGGATCTTTGTGATGGAGGGAACAAGATCCAAGAGCTAGAACCATTACTCTGTAATGTCCTGAAGTAGCATTTTGGTACATACGTTAGCAACGTAATCCAGCCAGCTACTGAATTAAAAGCTTGAGAACTTTTCTCCATTTATGATGGCATATTGGAAGACTAGCGATTCTGGCAGTCTGGGACTCTCGAAAGACTCTGAAGCACATAGAAGAACAGTTGCTTTGTTAAATGACCAACGTGTTGGCTGCCTCCTATGAGGGGAACTGACCCTGTCTGTGGGGTCCCCTGCTCCTTGACAGTCACAGGTGTTTTTAAGCGGTATAAGTGCTGTTTTCAGTGGAAGAGGCTGCCCTTCTGATTTCCCAAGTAGAGACTGCTCATGGGCCTACTCTGAGGATTTACATTTACTTTCTCTAAATGTCCTGTCAGATGGCAGTGGCCACAGATAAAGGGAAATAAAGCAGAGGAACGGGAGTAACAAAAGAGAGGTCATAGGAATGAAATTTCTATGTTGTGTGTACAACCAGCTTTAAAATATACTGAGACCAATACTTTGGCCCTTTCATATAAATAATTCCTGACCCTCAAGATAGGCAACCAAAAGAAGTAAAGCCTGATTATTAATCTGGGATCTTAACTGGTGCACAGGTTATTTAAGGCATTTGTTCTAATTGTCATTCATGTGTATCTCGCTTGCCAGTGAGAGTTGGTTTGTGTAAACACTACTATGATAGGCCATTGTGAATCCACATTATATGATGAACATCTTTTCAGCTTTCATCCAGTCATGAAATCCAGTAGAAATTGGTAGCGGTAAAGATAATAAGCACAATGGATTGAATGACTTGTAGAAAGTTCATGGATGACTAAGTTGTAAGAAGTAAATTCAGAGTAAATTTCTAAAGATGGGGCATTCTTTCCCCAAGTTTATCATTTTACCCTATCAGCACTTTGTTTTTAATGTCCTTGGTTCTCCGTTTGGTTTTGAAATGCTTGAAAAGCCACAATGCTTTCACATATCAGCTGAAACAGATGGTAACATACGCTGATCACACCTACCAAGAGTATTTATATAAATGATCTTAAGCCTAGGAGAAAAAAATCACATGGAGAGTCTAGTAGATCCTAATCAAATGGTGGTGTGCACAAATCATGTGTGGCTGGGCCATATTGTGCCGGTTTGAGTTTGCCCTCAGCATTGTTTCTCTCTTGGGTATTTGATTTCTTCTAGTAGAACAGACCTTCAGGAGGAGTGGGTTTAGACCGTGCCCAGACCACCCTTAGTATTAGGTGTGTGTCCTGGATAAAAAGGTGTTTTCCCAAGTGTGCTTCTTGTCTTCCAGACTCTTGCCTAGGTTCATTTTTGCCCCTGCTCAAAGCAGGGCTGGGCAGACTCAGTGATGGTAAATACAGCAGGCATTTGCAGCCATGATAGTGACAAACTTGAGTAGTATGTGCCGTTTCTACATGAGGAAGCTGCGATTCCACTCCAGGCCAGTATTGCCAGGTCCTTTCATTATTTTTAAAGAGAAGTCAGCAATTCAGGTTTTTCTGTCAAGTCTCAATTTTAAACGATAGGTAACTAATCAAAAGTTTTGAAAGTCTTTGAAGAGGGTAAACCAAACTCCTCTGAGATTGCATCTGGCTTACCCTGGCCCGTGCATTGCATTCTCAAAGGGCTTCTTTTTCAAACTGGCTGGTGGCCATCCCTTTGAGGAAGAGGGGTTTCCCTGGAGCCCTCTCTCTCCTTACTCTTCATTCTGATGTGGGCAGTGACCTCTACCACCAGGACCCTGAACTAGAGGTGTTCCCTTCCACAGACACTGGCTTGTGTGATAAACAGACTAGGCTGGTTAGTTCCCCAGGAGTTTAGGAAGGGGTTTAATATGCTGTAGCCTATATGGCACAAAAACAGACACTCAGATCCATGGAATAGAATAGAGAACCCAGAAATGGATCCACAAATGTATGGCCAACTAAACTTCGACAAAGCAGGAAAGAATATCCAATGGAATAAAGACTGTCTCTTCAGCAAGTGGTGCTGGGAAAACTGGACAGTGACATGCAGAAAAATGAACCTGGACCACTTTCTTACACCATACACAAAAATAAACTCAAAATGGATGAAAGACCTAAATGTAAGACATTTGTATGATGTAAGACGTCAAAATTCTCAGGGAGAGGGGCGCCTGGGTGGCGCAGTCGGTTAAGCGTCCGACTTCAGCCAGGTCACGATCTCGCGGTCCGTGAGTTCGAGCCCCGCGTCGGGCTCTGGGTTGATGGCTCAGAGCCTGGAGCCTGTTTCCGATTCTGTGTCTCCCTCTCTCTCTGCCCCTCCCCGTTCATGCTCTGTCTCTCTCTATCCCCAAAATAAATAAACGTTGAAAAAAAAAATTTCAAAATTCTCAGGGAGAAAGCAGGCAAAAACCTCTTTGACCTTGGCCACAGCAACTTCTTACTCAACACGTCTCTGGAGGCAAGGGAAACAAAAGCACCAATGAGCTATAGGGACCTCATCAAAATAAAAGGCTTCTTCACAGCGAAGGAAACAATCACCAAAACTAAAAGGCAACCAACAGAATGGAAGAAAAGATTTGCAAACGACATATCAGATAAAGGGTTAGTATCCAAAATCTATAAAGAACTTCTCAAACTCAACACCCAAAAAACAAATAATCCAGTGAAGAAATGGGCAGAAGACATGAATAGACACTTCTCCAAAGAAGACATCCAGACAGCCAACTGACACATGAAAAAATGCTCAACATCACTCATCAGGGAAATACAGATCAAAACCACAATGAGATAGCACCTGTCAGAATGGCTAACATTAACAACTCAGGTAACAGTGGATGTTGGAGAGGATGCGGAGAAAGAGGATCTCTTTTGCACTGCTGGTGGGAAAGCAAACTGGCACAGCCTCTCTGGAAAATAGTACGGAGGTTCCTCAAAAAATTAAAAATAGAACTACCGTGCAACCCAGCAATTGCACTACTAGCGTATTTATCCAGGGGATACAGGGATGCTGTTTTGAAGGGCCACATGCACCCCAAGTTTATAGTAGCGCTATCAACAGCCAAAGTATGGAAAGAGCTCAAATGTCCATCAATGGAGAAGGAAGATGTGGCGTATACACACACACACACACACACACACACACACACACACACACACACACACTAGAGTATTACTTGGCAATCAAAAAGAATGAAATCTTGCCATTTGCAAGTACGTGGATGGAACTAGAGGGTATTATGCTAAGCAAAATTAGAGAAAGATATCATATGACTCACTTATGAAGACTTTAAGACACGAACAGATGAACAAAAGGAAGGGAAGCAAAAATAATATAAAAACAGGAAGGAGGCAAAACGTAAGAGACTTAAATACAGACAACAGAGGGTTACTGTAGGGGTTGTAGGATGGGGGATGGGCTAAAGGGTAAGGGGCACTAAGGAATCTACTCCTGAAATCATTGTTGCACTATATGCTAACTAATTTGGATGTAAATTTAAAAATATAAAAATTAATTTATTAATTGACAAAAATGCTGTAGCCTATAGACAGTTATTAGAGTGCATCTTTATTGTGAGGCTGCTGGCAATATCTGACCACAGGATGAAGTACATGTTCGATTTTTCCATGCTGGTTTTTGTGCCTCACACCCACACTCTTGCATGTAGGAAGCCCGGGCCCCTGTGTTGGAGATGTTCTCCTTATGTAACTCTTCTGTGGCCCCACCTACATTTTGGAGTTGGCTCCTAGACCTTATTGTTGAAGGGGAGAGATGACAGATGGAACCTCCAGAGGAGCTTTTCCCCCATTTTGTCAGTTCACTCAATAGCAAAGTAACTTTGGAAATGAGAACTGTTGTGAAGTACTAACTTTGTAGCAGTTAAGTGACTTTAACTTCAAATATTTGAGATTAATTAAAGTTGAGGAGGAAGTAACCTGAAAGTGGCTTTGTTTTGTTGCTTGGGGGAACAAAAGCACCCACATTTTTTTGTGATTTGCTGTTGCAAGAAAGGAAGTAGGTCAGCTGTCTCTGCCTGCATTGCCTGCTACTCTGTGGCTGCACTATCTCACTCTGTTCATCTGGAGGGGGACCTGCTTCCATTTGAACAGAGAGCCCTAGTCTCACATGCCTTTATAAGGAAAAAACCCAACTGTTATGGGGATAAATATGAATCTGTACCCCACATATCCCTGACATGCCTTGTTTGTAGATGTGCCCAAGTCTTAGTCTGTGGTAGCTGCTTAAAATATTTCACTTTTTTAGTTCATTTGGTGCTGGGCAGTGAAAAAAAGGAAAAAGAAGGTTTCTGACAATTGAATCTTTAAATTGTGGGAGGGCATTTTGGAGATGATCTCACTTAATATTTTATTTTTCTTAGTTCATTTGTGAGAATGAGCATTGTACATTTAGGTTAATACGGATCTGGCACTTTAATAATTCATATAGCCTGGTTTAATGCATGGCCTTTCTTGGAAATCTACACAAAGGTGAATTAAATATTTGAAGCCACAGCTTATCTGCATTTCTTTCTCTTTTTTTTTTCTTTTTGTCCTTCTCACTAACTAGAGAAACAACTTATGAAATTGCCCATTCTTCCTTGTGCCTCCTTAGATTTATCTTCCATATTGCTTCTTTTCCCTTTGTGCTTTTGGGAACACTGATCATTTTTGTGGCTGACAGGCTTAACAAGCATCAAATAAACACAAACCCAGACAGGCCTGGCCTATAGGTGGTGAGAAAATATGTAGCTCTTATTGGAGCATCTAAGGCATACAGGCCAGGGTACCCTGTGACCTCAGCTCTCACGCATCTATTATTTCACAATCATAGGACCATCTAACTTTGAACCACCTCACTTTTCCACTTTGGATATTCTCTAATCTTTTATTTCAAAGCAGTTTAACAGAAGAGCTCGAAGGAGATGCTTCTGACTAAAGGTTTCAGTACCTTGCCCTCCGCCCCTTCCACTCCTTCTGACAGAGATCTGCTGGTAACATGCTGCCAGAGACATTGCAGTCTCCCTGTAAGGCTTGCATATTGATACTGGTCACTTGTTTTCTTTTCTGGTACAGTCTGATTTCCATAGCCTAACAGTTGGAAAGTGTTTACTTCTCTTCTGTTTTCTTGAAAAATCTGTATAATTGATATTAGTCCTTTAAATGTTTGGGATAATTTACCACTGAAGACATTTGGCCTGGAGTTTCCTTTGTGGGAAGGTTTTTAACAGTTCAGTTTCTTTAATCGATATAAGGATATTCACATTAGCTGTTTATTCTTGAGTGTCTTTGGTAATTTATATTTCATCAGTTACTACTATGTTACTTTATTCCTTCTGCCAGATTTGGGGTTTAATTTGTCCTTTTTCTAGTTCTAAAGTTAGAAGTTTTTAGATCATTGATTTGAGACTTTCTTTTCTGATGTCACAGTTAAACATTTAATGGTATAAATTTCTCTTAAAGCACTGCTTTAGCTACATCCTACAAATTGTAATGTGTGTGTTAAATAGTATGGGAAGGTCAGCAAAGATGCCATTGAGAAAACGATTTAGAAGCAAAGACCCAGAGGAGATGATAGAACAAGCCATGGAGGTATGGCACTCCAGGCAGAGAGAACAGCAAATGCAGAGGCTTTCAAAAAGAGGGTCAATTTTCTAACAGATGTTTGGGTGGTTTGGGGCTTTTTAGGGCCATGGTAAGGCCTTTGGCTTTTTACTCTGAGTGACATGGGAAGCCAATGAAGGATTTTGAATAGAGAATTGACATGATTTAATTTAGGTTTGAACAAGGCCTCCCTGACTTCTGTCAGGAGGGATGGAAGCAGAGATATCTCTTAGGAGGCTGTGCTAATAAGCAGGAAAACACCCCTCACCCCTCACAAAGATGTTCATTTCCTAATTCTGAAACCTATAAATGCATTACTTTAAGTAGCAAAAGGTCTTTGTAAAGGTTAAAAAAAAAGAGAGAGAGAGAGAACTAAGGGTAGTTAGATTATCAGGTAGGGACCCCAGTATAATCAAAGTATCCTAACAGGGAGACATAGGTGTCAGAGTCTGAGAAGACACTGTGATCGCAGAAGCAGGCATTGGAGCATATGGTCACAAGCCGAGGAATGTGGGCAGCCTCTAGGAGTCAGACTGGATTCTCCTCTAGAGCCTCTAGAATGAATAGGTCTGCTGACACCTTGACTTCTTATGTCCAGAACTATAAGATAATACATTTGTGTTGTTTTAAGTAAAACTACTTCAGTAATAATATGTTATAGCAGCATTAGGAAACCAAAACAGAGGCTTCGGTACTAATCCAGGAAAGAGTACAGTGGATGTGGCAGGCACTGATTAGAGTCTGGATATATGATGATAGAATTTACTGAAGGATTAAATATGAGGTGGAGGGGAAAGAGAGGAGTGAAGGAGAATTCCAGGGTTTTGAATATAAGTAGCTGGAAGGATGGAAGTGTCATTTATTTTGATAGGGAAGCGTGGTTTGGGGGAACAGCTAAGGAGCTCTGTTTTAGACATGGTAATTAGATATGCAAGATGCTAAGTGAAATTCAAGGAACAGATCTAGACAGGTTGTATAAATGTGAGACTCATCAGCACACATAGGATACCATGAGCCTGGATGTGCTCACCAATAGAGTATACCTAGAGTAAAAAAGTCTAGGTACTAAAACTGGGGTTCTCTAACATCTAAAGTTTGGGGAGATGAGCAAAGAAGACTGAGGAAGGGTTAGTAAGACCAGAAGACCACCAGAAGGTGGCTCTACCTTGGAAACCAAGTGAAAAAGAGTGTTTCTAGGAATGATGTTTATTCCTGTCAAATGGTTGTTGAACGTGAACTGAGAATTAGTCCTTGGATTGAACAATATGTAGAGATGACAAATGACCTTGGACAAAGGAGTTTAGGTAGAGTTTAGGAGACATAAGCTTGACTAGAATGGGTTCAAGAGAGGAGAGAGGGATTGGGTATAACAAGTTGGCAGCTCTTTCAGATTTTATGTAAGGTTTATAGAGACATGGGGTGGTAGCATGAGCTAGATACGGGATTGAGACTGTTACTTGTTTTTTGTTTTTAGTTGGGACCCATACTAGTAGGTTTTTTTATGTTTACCTGTTGAAAATAATCCAATAGATGAGAAATATTTACAGTATAGAAAGAGGGGAAATATCGATAATACATAATTAGGAAATAGTCCAGTAAAGGGGAAATATTGATAATGTAGAATAATATCAGTATAAATATTGATAATACAGAATAGATAATCTATATAACCAATAGAATGTATAATAGACAATATCGATATAGATACTATAGAATGGGCGAAGAATTGCTAGAGCAATGTCCTGGAGTAGGGGAGAGGAAATAAGATGCAGTGGACAGGTAGAAAGGTTGGTCTGAGATGGGAACATAGATTGAACACCTATATTTTTAAAAAGGTAAGACAGTACCTGGTACAGATGGAGGTAAGTGGGTAGATGTGGTGATAGGAACTATGGACATTGTCTTTTGATCGCATTCATCTCACTCAAGTAGGAAGCAGCAGGCTTTGAAGCTGAGACTGAGGATGCTGGCTGAGGTAGGTGAGAAAAGAAGGTGTGAAACAAATACTCATTTAGAGTCCAGGCTTGAGAGGAGGAGATTTACTAGACTAAGGAAGTATAGTTCCCTTGCTGTCTCCAACATTATGTGTCTTGAGTAATCAAGAATTTTAAAGCAAGACCACTCCGCATTCTTGGGACAGGAAATTGTGAGACATCTGAGTGGAGCTGTTTGGTATAGAGCAAGCGATATGAGTTGGGAGCTAGAATAAATGGTCTGGATAGGAGATGTGGGAGTAGTTGGCACCTAAGTGGTATGTAAAATCATGAAACTAGATGAAATTGCTCACTGTGAGGAGAGGAGTGTAGAAAGGAGAAAGGGCAGCATAGAAATAAACCTTGAGGAACTCTGAAATTCTTTGATGTCCAAGAAGACAAGGCAGCAAAGAAGACAGAGAAGAAATAGCCAGAGCAGTAGAAATTAAACAAAAAGTCTTCAAGAAAATCTAACCTCTAGGCCTGACAAAAAACACTTTGTAAACCAGGAACATAAGAGAATTTGCTCAGCCTGGTAACATACCAGGTGAAACGAAATATTAATGGGAACAGGCTGAGTCCTTTCTCCCTACAATCAAAAACAAGACAAAGATGTCCTATTTGTCGTTGTTCTAGAGGTTTTCAACATGGTGGTAGTGCCTCGTGTGGGGCTTTTTGCTAATTTAATGAGAAAAAATATTAACTCCCATTAATTTTTATTTCTTTTGATTTGTGAGAGTAAATTTTTTCCCCTAGTTGTTTACTAGTCATTTATAGTTCATCTTAGGTAGGCTGTCCATGTCTTTCCCCCATTTTTCTATTAGTATTTTGGTGTTCTCCTTACAGATTTACCTAACATACTTCATCAGTTACATATACTTAAATACAGAAGTAATATAGTCAGATTTATGAATTGACTTCTCCCATTGTTATTTGGAAATAGGGCAGAGTTTTCTAAGAAATGAGAGATATTTCTCTTGAAGAATTCAGTCAGAACATAAATAGATGCCTTTTTTTTTTTAATTGTTTTAGATGTTTATTCATTTTTTTTTAAATTTATTTATTTATTTTTTTTCAACGTTTATTTATTTTTGGGACAGAGAGAGACAGAGCATGAACGGGCGAGGGGCAGAGAGAGAGGGAGACACAGAATCGGAAACAGGCTCCAGGCTCCGAGCCATCAGCCCAGAGCCCGACGCGGGGCTCGAACTCACGGACCGCGAGATCGTGACCTGGCTGAAGTCGGACGCTTAACCGACTGCGCCACCCAGGCGCCCCTGTTTATTCATTTTTGAGAGAAAGAGAGTGTGAGCGGGGGCGGGGCAGAGAGAAAGGGAGACACAGAATCCAAGCAGGCTCCAGGCTCTGAACTGTCAGCACAGAGCCCGATGTGGGGCTTGAACTCACAAACCATGAGATCATGACCTCAGCCGAAGTCAGAGGCTTAACTGACTGAGCCACTCAGGCGCCCCCATAAATAGATTCTTTAGCTTTGTTAGCTTTTAAATATAAGCATGAAGTGAGGGTTTAACTTTATTTTTCTCCAGATAGTCCATCAAATACAAAACCAATGTACTGTTAATCCCTACTTGTATGTGATGTTAACTTTTTTCATTCACTATGACAGTGTCTATTTTTAGATGATTCTATTGTAATTACTTTAGCTTTGTATTACATTTTAATTACCTCTCTTCCATTACTCTTGCTCTCTTTCTCCAAGGTTTTTTGTCTATTCCTAGCTGTTTATTGTTCCAGATTAATTTGTGAGTAAGTAGGTCAGTCTTCCTATGCCTAAACATGGAATATGTTTGTTTATTTGAGTTTTTATAATATTCCTCAGAAAAGTTAAATCACTTACTGTTACTTTAATACTGTGGGTTTCTTCAGAGATCTAGTCCCCTTTATTTCCCGTTAATTGCTTTCATAAAGATTTGACATTCCTTTCATTTTACTTTCTTTTTTCTAGTATATAAAAAATTGATTTTTTAATATATATTTATATTGTCTGTAGCTTCCTTAATGAACTCTTTATAATACTAAATTTTTGGGGGGTGACTCTCTTCAGTTTCCTAGATAAACAGAGATCATCTGTATTGAAAAGTCATTTGGTGGTCTCCTTTCTAACAGCTTTTTCTTTTATTTCTATTTCCCATTTGATTTCATTGGCTAGAAAGATGATTATATTATTGTTTAACTAATGGTAACAGTAAGTTTAACATTAATAACATCTATTTTTTAAGGTAAATGATTCTAGTTTTCACCACAAAGTATAATGTTTGATGATTATTTAAAGTAGTATGTTCAGAATCTTTCTAATTTACTCAGAGTCAGAGTCATCAGAAATGAGTATTTAATTTATCAAGTGTCCTTTGTAAATAGTTTGTAATGAAAATGAGAAAGTTAACCTTAGATAAGGTGCTTTTTCTCCATTATACTGTATGAGATAAGATATATTACAGAACAAAGAGAGCAATTTTCTTTTTGTAATGGAGGAATTATCTTCGTATTTAAAACATATAATTAATTCCCTGCCCGTGTTTACTTGGCTATCTTAGGAAACATTTTTTTCAGCCAAGTATTCTTATACAGTCTAGCTCTGCTCTGATTCATTGGTGCATTGGTGAATCAGTGAGTTAAGTAGTGAAGAGAGTAGTCCACAGTGGTGAATCACCTGGTGGGAAGTGAATGGCGAGAAGGAAGAGAGGCAAAGAACAAGTCTTGAAATGATGAAAATATGGAAGACCACAGTATAACACATGGAAAGATGGTGGGATAGCTCTTCTTACAATAATTGATTGTCCAAACCCATATGCTTTTATAAACGGGCTGTTAATAATAAGTAGCTGGCCCAGTCCCTTATGCCTATGAGTCTGTAGTTTATAATCTTGTTGGTCTGTCAGTTTGAGTTGTTTAGGAGGGAAGAGGAATAGCTGCGTCAGTCTAGTAGCTGTGATTCTTCAGTTTGTTTACAAGTCTTTGTTGACTGCATTGAATAAAATTCTTGAATACTGCTGCAGTATATTGGGAATTAAGACCTATAGGCATGTGGTTCCTGTGGCACCTAAAAAAAATGTGTCCCAAATCCTGTCTTCAGCTTTGCATGCCAAATGCTTCTGTGGTTAAGTATTTTTCTGCTTCATCCAGACCTCAATTCCATCACCACCAGTTTTCTCTTGTCTTTGCTTCCCTTCCAAGTTGCATTATCATAAGTATATTTATTTCTGATAACCCATAAGGATGTTGGACCTAGAAATGTTAGTAATTATCCTCTCAGTTCGATTTCATTATTTACTCATTGAGTGAAAACAGCAAAGGATTGAGTAGGTATTTCTCCAAAGAATCTGTGCTAATGGTCAATAAGCATAGGAAAAGATGTGTAATATCATGCACCATCAGAGAAAAGCAAATTAAACCACAATGAGATAGCACTTCGCACCCACTAGGATGGCTATCATTAAAAAGAAAAGAGAGAAAAGAAAAAAAGAAAAGAACAAGTGTTAGTGAAGATTGGAACCTTCATACATGCTGGTGAAAATGTAAAATTGTGCAACTGCTTTGGAAAACAGTCTGGCAGTTTGTCTAAAGTTAAACATATGACCCAGCTATTCCACTCCTGCTGATGGACCCAAAGATAATGAAAACACAGAAACATGTATGTGAATGTTCATAACAGCTTTTTTCATAATGGTCAAACAAGTGGAAATGGTTCATTGATGTATGGATAAATAAACTGATCAACAGATGTATGGATAAATAAAATCTTGTGTATCTGTATAATGGCATATTATTTATCAGTAGAAAGGAATGAAATACTGACATATTTTCCAGCATGGAAGAACCTCCAAAACATCAAGTGAAAGAAGCTAGTTACAAAACCCACATATTAATATGATTCCATTTATATGAATTACCCAGGATAGACAAATCTACAGAAAAAGAAAGTAAAGTTAGTGGTTGCCAGTAGGTAGTTTTAAGGAATGAGCAAAATGGGGAATGGCTGCTGATGTATATGGGGTTTGTTTTGGAGTGATGAAAGTGGTCTTGTGGTAATGGTTGTCCAACTGTGAATATACTAAAAATTACTGAATTGTAAGGTTTAAATTGGTGAATTTTTTGGTATGTGAATTATATCTCAAGCCAGATGCTTTTTGTACAGATTACTTTTTAAACTTCAGAACCTGAAATAGCAAACGTTCATCATCAGATTATTAAGAATAGTGGGTAACTCTATGAAACCTAGAAATTGTGTAATAGGAAAATAACAGTGTAAATCCAGAAAATGGATAAGAAATAGTTAATGTTGAAGAAGAAACAAGATAGTCTTATGTAGCAGGGAATTTTATATTTTTGTCATGGGATGTACTTGTGTATGGGTATTGTGTATAGCATAAAGGCTGGAATATAATGTCAAAAATTTTCAAAAGTTGCTGTCACAGAGTGGAGAGGTTGGAGATATTTTCATTTGTCTTACTGTGTATCTGCATTTCCAGTGTATTTTCTTTTACCCTCACATCTGCTACTTATTGTTTAATACTTCTTCATAAGTGTTGTGGTGGAACACGTGGTATCATGGATCCTTGTGAAATGCCTATGAGACAAAGCCATCACCAGTGTATTGACCTATCTTCTTTTCATGCCTCTGGAAGAGTAAAAAATGAACTTCAATATCTTTGCAGGTTATCAATGCTGCATTGGCTTTAGCAGCAAAACCACAGAGTAAACTGGCCCAAGAGAACATGGATCTTTTTAAAGAACAGTGGGAAAAACAAGTCCGTGTTCTCACAGATGCTGTCGATGACATTACTTCCATTGATGACTTCTTGGCTGTCTCAGGTAATGAGCTGGTTCCCCAGAGAAGCCTGTGAGAATGTGCATAATAACTTCTAAGTCACAGTAATGGACAATCAAAACACCCCCAAGTCTGGGCAAGTAAATTATTCTAGCAATAATATTGTGCTGGTTTTGATTTTAATTAAAAAAAAAAAACAACAACAAACTACCACTGGCTCCTAAACAGTGGGAGGTGGGTTGGAGTTGTTTCCCTTGTGGTGGGGCTGGTCTAGATCTTAGAAGCATGAATTTGAAAGCTGGCTGGCAGTTTTCTCCCATTTGTATAGAGTAATATTTTGCATCTGTTGACCTGTACAGCACCGTGACCATCCACCTCTCTTGAAGCTATTGTATTTAGAAAAAACATTGACCTGTGTCCTGTGAGAGGCTGTGGTTATTTGTTGTAAGCCTGTGAAACTTTAGAGGAGAGGTTTCCAGCACCATCATCTTTAGTTCATTTTTTAAAATAAATTTTCCCCCTTCCTGGAAAGCTTCTTCCTTTCTCCCTCGGAAATGATCATAGTTTAACTGCCTACTTTTTAAAAGACTCTGTCTGCATGATGCACGGATAGAAAACAGAGAGGAAATATTTAAGTGCCATTTAATTAAGAACTTGCAAAAAGTAAATCTGGGTAATTCACCTCACAAAAACAGTTGATTTCATTATATAAACATAAACTGGTAATGACATAGTAAATTGCATTCATATAGAAAATGTCTGTCAACTGCAATTCACTGTTTATCACACAGATAAATTTCAATCCATCTCCTTCACATTGAACAAGTATAAATGCATTCTTCATTTAACAGGGCCTCTGCTGCCCTTAGCTACATGCTTGCTCTCTGGAGGTGCCAGGCCTCCTGAGGCCAGTGGCTGTGGGCAGACTCAGCGGCTGGGTACTTGTAGGGCTAAAACTACCTGTCACCCTAGGGAACCACAGGCTGGAATGTGGGAGATGTGAGTGTCAATGGAGCTTGAAAGAGAAGTGGGACTTAAGTACATGCACAGCGCAGTCCTCCAGCAATGACCTATATATAAGGTTACAGTGTGTTCTGCATACCAATGTCCTTCTGTCTCTGCCTGTTCTCCTTGGGGTTGGTAGCTTTGGCTGTACTTGAGAGAGTGGGGAACAGGCAATCCATAAACTGCAAAAAGAGGGGATAAACCATGCTGCTGCAGGACTGCCAAATTGCAGGTGCTGGTACTTTAAAATGAAAACCCCATTTGCAAGCACATCTTTGCTGGTGCCAAAAATGCAGCAATGGCTTTTTTGGGAAATCTTGGCCTTCTGTTGTTTTTCCCAATGAAGTACTGAGTTATTCTTTTTCATAGGTTTAGAGAAAAACATTCCACCTTCACAGCACACTTTTAAGCAAACAAATTCTGAAACCTAAATGTAAAGCCCCCCTCCGGAGATAGATACTACATTCCTAAACTTACTTCTTGTGATGAGGTTGGGTATATATCTCACGCTTGGTCTCAAGGGATTTTCAGTCCTTCTTACAGCAAAATAAAATGTAATAGAATCAAATGTCCCTCATGCAACATTCTTCAAATTGGAGAACAAAGAGGCTTCTGCAGTAGCATTTAGTGGCATCCAGGCAGTATCTTTAGGGTATATGACATAAAACAGAAGAATGGTAAAGAGAAATTAAATTCTTTAACAGATATGCTTTTATCTGGTGAGCATGTTCAATTTTTATGCAAATGTGGGAAAGTATAAGGGCTGACTTGATGGAAAGGATTCTAGACCGTTGCTATTTAGGAAATAAAAATACAGAACAGTTCTCTGAGTCAGGAAGTGTTGGTGTTTTCAGAGTATGTGAATTCAGAGGTCTACAGGTTTTGTCACAGGCTTGCTTAGTATCAAATGATTAATATTCATAATTCTTCTGTGCTTTATAGGGGCATGGGATGAAGGGGAGGATACAAGCAGATTTCTGTGCAGAGTTCTCCTCAACTGACTAGTTAGTTGTTGGCATTCACACTCTTTTATACCTTCACACACCCACCTCACCCATGGAAATTTGAGCATCTATTCATGGTAGGGTGGGGAACTAGAGATGTCTAACCATCTCACCTGACACAGACTGGCTGTCATCACAAGGAACCCCACTTTGAACTAGGCAGGCCCCTACTGGTCTCCAGTCCTTAGCCCTTGTACAGTTCAGAGCATCTCTAATTGTGCACCGTGGATTGGAGAGGATGTGTCAGTCTGCAGCATTCATGGGTAGTCTTTAGACAGTAAGTCGTGTCTTGTCCTCATCCTGATCTTCCCCCTCTGCCAGTTTCTCCTTGCCCTCTGGCATGCCGGTGCTTCAGTAGTCCTGTCTGTGAAGTAGGCATGGCTTTGAGTAGATGAGCTGCCAGGCAAGTGCCCAGCACACAGTATAGCTTTGGTGGTGGGTTTCATAAATCTATACTAAATGCAAAGTAAGGATGGTGCTTGACTCCTTGGAGTGGTTGTTTTCTACTGTATTCTGGTACCTCTGGCAGTGTGATAGTTTTTAAGGAATATTTCCAATAAGGATTTTCTACCATGAAATCCTTCTTGGAACTCATGGGGCCTAGAAATTTCCTGAAGCCTGCCCACTAGCCAAGAACCCCTCTAAGGGAAAGTTATTTAGGGAATAGGACTGAGAGGACTTTTTGTTGCTTTATCTCTATTGTTGCTGGATATTCTGTCCTGTTGGTTCCAGAAGTTCCCTCATACCTGCCACAAGTCCTATCTAAATTTGTGACTCAAAAACTAATGGTAACTTTGTGTATAATTTGGTGAAGCCCCCAAACATTTCATGAGGCTGCAGGGCAAGGGAAACTTGACAAAACTCTGTGTTACAATCAAATCAGAGACCATGGCATTTGAAAGTAGGGGGACATGCATGCCATCCCAGGGAAGAGGGAGTGGAGCTCCTTTTCACCAAGCTCTTTTTCACAATGTGCCTTGTAAATATTGGAGATGTTAAGATGCTAGAGCGCATTCAGCAGACCACAAGTATATTTATATTGACTGATCCCTTAAGGACAGGAGTTTGAAATTTATCAAAGTGATAAAGACTGTTTGAATTTCATTTGAATTGTATTTGTTAAACGTTTTCCATGGAAGTGCAATTTACTTTCTTGTGCATTTATTCTGCTTACATGTGGAAGCTTTAGTGTCTTCTTTTTTTTCTTTTAATTCAAGTGTTTGGTTAGAGTGGTTCCAATTGGGTTTATTACATTTTTTTACCATGTGCTCTTGGAAACAAATAGTATATTGCATTAGATACATTAGGGCAACACGTAAGAGTGGTAATTTGTACTTTTTCTTCTTCATTAAGGGTCACTGTGCCCAATTTGGTCTTATTGGAAGGCCATTAAATAAAAGGATTACAATACCTAATTTTTTGTTTTTGTGTTGAAGAGCAAAAAAAACTTTGAAGATAAGGTAGTGAAGATAGGTTTGATTTCTGACTCCCCTGCCCACTAGCTGTGTGACCTTGGAGAAGTCCCTGCCCTGGCTTGCTCGTTATTTAATGGTGATTTTTTTTTTTTAATGGCTACTCTGTAAAGAGTTAAATGTCAAGCCCTCAGTATTTCCTGTTATAGATTAAGTCCTCTATATAAAGTATTAATATTATCATTTCATATGTGTGCATAAGGTTAATACCAATAAAGACATCCAGAACAAAGGGTACACAGAATGGGCCCTGTTACATATCATGAATTGAAGTATGAGTTGATGCAGCATTCTGGAGAATTCCAGTTGGCTTGGTTCCTGGAGGCCAATTAGGCACTGCATATCTACTTTAAACATATATATGCCTTTTGAGTTAGTAATCCTATTGCTAGAAATTTTTCTCAGGGATATGTACACAAATGTATGCCAAAATACCTGTACAAAGTTGTTCATGTCAACCAAAATGTTGAAGACTGGATAAGTAAATTATGGCCCCTCCATCTATTCAGTAAGGTACTTTGCAGCCATTAACATGAATGAGGCAAATGGGTGGATGCAGGCCTAGAAAGGTTTTCAAATGAAAAACATAATAGTGTCCATAATATGGTCCCTTGTTAGATAGACTGTTGTATATGTGACTTTTTTTCCTGTTAGAGGCACCTCCCAGTGATGACTGTTTAACAATCAAGAGTCTTTAACGGGGTATAGATTGGTGTGTCTACCCATAAGGGACCCATGCTGAGGTTCCTTGGAAATTCAATTAAAGCTGAAGTAACTTAAGATTTTAGTTAGCCTGGGTACCTCCAAGCCTCTCGTGTTTGTGCACATTCACTGGAACCTCGCTTCTCCCTTAAGGCTCAAGTGCAGATAACAGGATTGATGTTGTGTCCTGGGTATGTGGTAGCCTCAGCTGGATGGGGCTTTCCTAGAGACAGCTGTTCAGTGAAGGTAGACACTATTACTTTAGTCAGCTTCCTGAAATAGAAGGCTTCCTTTGTTGCTAAAGAATAGCAAGCCCTTCCCTGGTTTAGGTTCACTGGAAGAAAGCCAGTGTGAATTCAAGAAAGTCTAAATTGATTTTTAAAAACATAGGTGTCTAGATGAAGGTTAACAAATCACTGGTGAAAGTTTGGACTGTTTTGCTTAATGAACAAAAAAGAATGTCATGCTTCATTGATTCTAAGATGGGCTTCCTCCCCCATACTAACAATCCTGAAACAAGGATGAGTTTTAAAATCAATGATACAAGAAAACATTGGTTCATAGTTAGTGACACTTTTTCTTTCCCTTCCTGCTGCTTTCCTTTCCTTAAACAAAATACAAGTGTAAAATGTTTTAGGTTCAGCAAAAGCAGCAGTTCTTTTTTTTTTTTTTTTTTAATGTTTGTTTATATTTGACAGAGAGAGAGAGAGACAGAGCATGAGTTGGGGAGGGGCAGAGAGAGAGGGAGACACAGAATCCGAAGCAGGTCCAGGCTCTGAGCTGTCAGCACAGACCCTGACGTGGGGCTCGAACTCACAGACCGCGAGATCATGACCTGAGCCAGAGTTGGACACTCAACCGACTGAGCCACCCAGGCACCCCTAAAAGCAGCAGTTCTTAACCCACAGGTTGGTATGGTGTGCAGGCCCAGTACCACTGTGTTTAGTTTAATTATATAGAAAGTTTGTATATAAAAGATGCTTCCAGTGGGCTCCCCATCCATTCATTCTTATGAATGGTTCAAATAAATATCCTTCCTAAAATTTGTTTATGTAAAAAGTTTAATAGGTTTTCTCTGTTGATAGTACAATGATAGAAACCCTACAGGTCCCCACTTCTTTTTTAATTAGTAGACACAAAATTAGGGTTTTCTTTGCTTTACTGTGGTAATTCATTTTTCTTTTCTGTAATAGGAATTCACACTGTATTCTGGCTTTTATTGAAAATAATTTATTTAAAGAAAAGAAAGAAAAACTTTTAGAGCAATTTTAAGTTCACAGCATAATTTAAGAGAAGCGTACAGAGATTTTCCATCAGTCTGTAAACCCACACGTGCACAGCCTCATCAGCATGTCCCATCATAGTGGCACACTTGTTACAACTGATGATGTATCCATCATAATAGTGTCATGTAAAGTATTCACTGCTCTAAAAATCCTATATGTTCTGTCTGTTCTTCCTACCCCCTCCAACTCCTGATATTTTTACTACCTCCATAGTTTTGCCTTTTCCAGAATGTCCTATAGTTGGAATAATACAGTATGTAGCCTTTTCAGATTGTCTTCTTTCATTTAGTAATATGTATACCATGTCTTTTCATGGTTTGATAGCTCATTGCTTTTCAGTGCTGAATAAAATTCCATGGTCTGGATTTACCTCATTTTATCCATTCACCTACTGAAGGACACCTTGGTGGTTTCCAAGTTTTGGCAGTTATGAACAAAGCTGTTGTAAACATCTGTGTGCATGTTTTTATGTGGACTTAGGTTTTCAACTCCTTTGGATAAATACCAAGGAGTGTGATTGCTGGATCATATGGTAAGGGTGCATTTAGTTTTATAGGAAACATGTTTTCACCAACTCTCTTTTTAATTCTTTCACATGGTTATTTCTTTCGCACTGTGATTGTTTTCATTTTATGCCACTGTACCTTTAGTCTCGGAACAGAGACACTTACAGAGTTCCTGTCTCTAGTCTCTTGGGAATTACAAAGGCAGTGCATTGTGGTATACTGTTCTTTGATAGATCTACTAAGTACCACTTGCCTCTGCCTCCATTGGACATGAGAGGAAATAGCACCATGACCACTATCTTAGTTTTGAGTATCTTAAGAGGTCAAGCTTATTGTTCCCTCCCTTCCAGACATTGTCACATATAACTTGACTGAGTATGTTAGCAGAGGCTGTGAGGGAAGGGTAATGGCTTTTGGAAGTCGATTAAATCAGGAAGCAGTCCAGAATAATGACATGTCGATGCATAAGGTGTCCAGGACTGGCAAAGAAATGACCAGATGTGTTTCTTAGATTACTTTTGCCCTAATTGTTCTAGCTCTGCCAGAAGAACTAGGGCCATTAGTCTTTCACCTATCCTCTGTGAGTTCTTGCATGTCTTGAAGAAAGCTCCTTTCTGAGCTGGGAGGCAATGGCTAGATGATGACGTGGTGGCTTCCCTTTATGTCACTCTCCAACCAACTTCACGGAGTCTGAGGAGCCCTGTCATTTGGGCCATATCCTCGTGGTCCCTTCAGTTCTGGGTGAGAACATCCCCTTTTACCATTCTGGGTTAGCCCTTACCCATTGACCTCATCCATTTTAATGGCTGTATAGTACCCATAATATATTACCTACTGTCCTTAGACATTTTGGTTGCTTCCACTTTGCTTTTATTATAGATGAAGCTAAAGCTAAGTCAGAGGTTCCCAGTATCCAGTGTCACGAATTTTGCTTTGAGGAAAAATAGGTTTGGTGGGTCCTCAAAATGTCAGCTTAACAGGATTCAAGGGTTTTTGTAAATATCACAGCAAGGTACCCCCTGCACCCATGAGAGGGTTACTAAATGTTTTGCTTTAGATGGGCTTCCTCTATGCCCTCCAGAGGAGGCTTCAGTCTCCTTTCCAGTGCCTTCTATCCCAGGGCTGTCCTGGCTTCTTGGGAGATGGTCTGAATACATTGGCATCTACTGAGGGAGGGGCAAGAGAATGGAAGGAATGAGACTTATCGTGAACCCCTCCCTCTGTTTTAGACTTTGTTTTGGACATTAGGTCAGTGAAATTATTTAAAGAGAAGTTAGTAGATTTCTATAGTCTGAATTTTCTGCCTGGTTTGCAAAACACCTGTGCCTTAAAAATCTCAGTTGACCTCTGTCTCTCCCTCTTTCTATAAACCTGGAATGCAGATTGTTATTCTTGGAGGTGATTACAGGTTGAGTTTCTGTGGGACAGTTAATCCAGCGGTTAGTCTGGTCTGTTCAGTGAAATGATACATGAAACGCTTTGGCACTGCAGCTGGCACAAAATGAGCACTCAGTGAACGATAGGTGCCAACTTAAAATTTTCCCCTTCTAGTGGAATGCCTTCTCCCTCATTCAGCCTTTTGTTTGTTCTTCAGAGAATCACATTTTGGAAGATGTGAACAAATGTGTCATTGCTCTCCAAGAGAAAGATGTGGATGGGCTGGACCGCACAGCTGGTGCGATTCGAGGCCGGGCTGCTAGGGTCATCCATGTAGTCACCTCAGAGATGGACAACTATGAGCCAGGGGTCTACACAGAGAAGGTCCTGGAAGCCACCAAGCTGCTCTCCAACACAGGTTCGGGGACTTCCTCCCTTCCAGTGCTCCCCACACACAGATGGGTGGGCTGGGCCATCCTGGGAGTTCAGGCCCTGTGGTTAGGAAGGATGAGATCAGGATGTAGATCAGGTCTTCACACAACATGTCTGGGTTGGACATCAGACCTTGAGAAGTTGATCAACTAAATTAAGGCCTTGAAAACCCCTTTTCTTCATGTGTCCCACAGCTAATGATGGGAATAATTCTGAACACACTATTTAAGGTGAATTTTTGAGTAAAGTCTTTTGTTAGTCTATAAATACCAAATTAAGGAGAGTCCTAGTTTTAAGCGAGGCCTCCCGTTAATCTCACTTCAGTTCCTCACCCATCCAAATCCTGTATTGCAAAATCTGGTCAGAGACAAAGATGATTTGAGTCTTGGTAAAATACAGCATTTAATTTATTTCAACTGTAAATACTCCTCACATAGGTAGAGGCAGATGCTCTTCATCATATACCTCACCTCCTCCTGTCTGACTGAGGGATTGAGGGAGGGCTGGTAGAATGATCATGTCTGCTGGCCTAGCAGGATCTGCCCTGCCTCTTTCTCCACAGTCATGCCACGTTTTACTGAGCAAGTAGAGGCAGCTGTGGAAGCCCTCAGCTCGGACCCTGCCCAGCCCATGGATGAGAATGAGTTTATTGATGCCTCCCGCCTAGTGTACGATGGCATCCGGGACATCAGGAAAGCGGTGTTGATGATAAGGGTGAGTAACTGCGTTTCAGACATTTTAACAGCTTCTTTCTTATCATTTGCTAAACTTGAGCAATGCATCATTCTGGAACTCAGCAGATGCGGTGGCAGTATATTAAAACCATGAATCTAAAAGCTGTTAGAATGAGATATATTTAATTATGTTGTCTAAAATGACTTTTACTCGCAAGTTAGAGCCCAAACTTGGGCCAAGAAGGGGAGCTAGTGTGAACTGGCTTTGATGATTTAGTTTCAGGCAAACAGCTACCACACATAGGAGGCTTCTGGTAAGTTAGAGGGATACTAAACAGAATAAAGGCTTTTCGGTTATTTGCAGAGAACGGAGTATTTCTTTAATGCAAGTTGAAGTTACTGTTCACGTAGAATACGTTCTCTCTCCTCGAAGGGGTGGCAGGGAGGCAGGAGGCTCCTGGGGCCCCAGTGTGTTGAGACTAAGGAGGAGTGCCTGTGGCAGCCCCTTGAGAAACTACTAACCCCTCTGTAATACAGCCCAGGGGCTGGTGCCAGGTCTCACAGCTATCTTTCCCTCGCGATTTCCCTAGTGATTGATCCCTCACATGCTGTTAGGAGTATGAACGTATTGCTCTGGAAGCTGAGAGCAGAGAGAATTCTCACCAGGCCACCTGGGGGTCCCCCAGGCCTGGGCCGGGCCCTCCTCTAGCTGCCCAGCCTGCCTGCTGCATACATGGCTATTGTGCCGTGTTGTCAGTGTAGTGGGGTCAGGGGAGTGTCATTTACATGGTTTGCTCGTCCAGCCCTTCAAGCTAGGCAGGGATTCTGTCCCATTTTTTTATCCTCTCAGCTTGGCATCCTGTAGAACCTAGTCAGACCATCAGCTGGAAACAGAGGCCATTTCTAAGGCAGTTGCATCAGGCTGGACCCAGTTCGTATGCAGTGTAGAAATACTTGGGCAAGACTGTACCTCTGGGTAAGGAGGAAAGATAAATGTTCTTGGATTTCCTGGTTGGCTGCTGGCTGTTCCTACAGGTCCCAGGTCCCCTGGACGTGTTGGAGGTTGGGGGCAGGGAATTGGTTGTTCTTGCTTTCTCCATCCCTTCATTCCTGTGCTCAAGAAGAATCCTGGCCTGGTTGAATAACAGGTCAAACCCAGCAGCTGTCTCAGTGCTGTGAAGGGATCCCAGGTCACATAAACCACTAGTAATGAACACAGCCCTATTATTCCAGAGCTCTTTTCCATACTGACAGACAGCTAGAAATAAAAAGAATATTAATGATAAAAAGGAGTCATTGGGTGTCTGAGGTTAATGCTTTTGGGGCTTAAAGTGTGACAAAAACTGTGTACATGCCAGGAAATGCATGCAGATCCTAGAGTCCTGTTGTGGGAGAGCAGTCCTTAGAGCAGGCAGGCCTCATAGACTCCTCTTCTAGAGCTGTGTCTGTGAACAGGTGCCTCCTCTCTTATCTTCTCTTAAAACAGAGGTGCTAGTGGTTGATGGCTTTAATTAGCTATAATGTAGATAGTGTGCCCAGCACAGGGCCTGGCAGTGGGGTAGCTGTGCTGGGCACCAGGATGGCCACAGCCCTGGCAGAGGCGTACACAGCCGCGTGTGCTAGAGCCAGGGCACAACTGAGGCCTGCGAGGCAGCTACACTGCAGGCCCTGGCTTACTGCTGTGCACTTGGACTCCGTTCCTATTTGAATTCAAGAATCATCTTTCCATCCCCTAAGCCTCTCAGTATTGTGTCTTGTCCTCCTCCTACCTCAGCTTGCCTTCCATAGTCACACCTGGTCTTTGTCATTTCCAGTGTCCAGTGTCCTTCTCTGCAGCCCCCACTGTCCAGAATGTGACAGTCCTCTGAGTCTTCCTCACCTGTCACCCTTACCCAACCACGCCTGTCTTTGCTTTGTTCCTTTTCTAGCTTTTTGCATCTCTGGTTAGTTAGTAGACTCTCTTTTGCCCCATTCACTTCCTTATATGGCTTTGCACAATCCTATTCTCTTGAAATCCGCCATCTGCTAAGCCTGGTTGTAGAATAGGGCAGCTGCCCCTACTGTGGTCCCAGAACCAGGCAGCATTGCCCCACAACCCTAGCATCCGAGAATGTTTCAGACCTTCCTGCTCGCCTCCCCCCCTCCCATGGGGCCTGGGGCTGTTTCCTTAGGGTGTGAAGGTGGTCTGGATGTCCCGCCTGCCCCCTGCCAGGTCTCTGCCCATGTACAGCATACAGCACACTGGCATTTCTCCCATCCGTCCTCCTCCTCCTTAGTCTGCTTTGTCCTCGTCTCTTCAGCTCCTTACTAGTGGCATGTCTGGTAGCAAAGCTGTCAGCTTCTTCTCTTCTCACACAGTCCTCATTCCCTTGGGAAAAACATCCAGGGTGACTGTCCTGAGCTCCACACACAACCTTCCACTTTGCCTGCTCTCTCTGGCCACTTGATTACCTAACAAGCATCTGCTAATCTTTCACCCCGACCTTCCTCCACCCAGTCTTCATGGGTTAGTAGATGGCAACCTACCTTCCACTTGCTGAGGCCCAAACCTCGGATTTGCCCTCGATTCCTCTTTTTGTCTCAATTCCCACATCTCCTCTACCTTCACAATAAATAGAGCATCTGAGCACTGCTCCCACTCTGGTCCTGGCCACTAGCATCTCTTACCTGGATTCATGTACCTGCCTCCCTATTCTCATCCCTTGAAGCCTAGTTTCACTCTCCACAGAGCAGCCCAAGTGATCCTTTCAAGTTTCAGTTAGGTCATGTTATCCACTGCTCAGCACCCTCCACAGGCTGGCTGTGGCTGGCATCAGTCCTTACACTAGCCCACAAGGCCTTCTAGAATTTCATCTGCTGCTGTTCTTCTGGGGCTGTAGTTGATCCTATAACCTGAGGGCAGTGAGCTCAGTCCTTCTGCCATGGCCTCCTTGCTCATCTGACTCCCCAGGTGAGCTCCTGCCTCTGGGCCTTGGTTGTGGTGACTCCCTCCTGCCAGGACACTCCTCCCCCAGGTACCTCCCATGCTCCCTGTTCACATGTCACCTTCTTAGGAAACCTTTCCTGACCACCCATATGAAATTACAATCCTCACTGCTTTATTGATTTGTATCACTGATCGCTTTCTGATGTCTCATAAAATTCACCTTCTCATTTTGTTTATTGTCATTTCTCCCCTTAGAATATATGCAAGAGCAGGGATCTTTGTGTTAGTCATTTTGTACCTCCAAGGCCCAGAACAGTACTTGGCACACACGTACTCAGAATGAAAGAATAGAATGTATTTGGTTTTCTTGGCAAGAATAGTTCTTTGGTCTGTGATGGACTAGCCAGGGTGGAACAGAAGCAGAGATCTTATCAGGAGGCCTTCCTTGGAGAACGCTCCTTCACAGGCCATTCTAAATGGCCCAGGGTGGTGTACTGTTTCACACTGCCAAGTCAGAGAAACTCTAGGATCTTGCATTCATGTGTTCCTTCCAGCTTGCTGGTGCCTGGGGTGACTGCCGCTGTCCTTACCTCATCCCATTGAGGGAAAGGCTCAGCCTTTGCATGTGTACAAACCCAAGATAGTTTTGGCCGGGCCAGATGCTTCCTCACCCATCCTCTCTTTTGAGCCTCACAGCAAGCCCTTGGGCTGGGCTTGGATTAGGTCCTGGTGCAGATGAGGGACTCCCCTCAGTGCCCTCCTGTCACAGGCCGGCCAGCTGGGCCAAGAGCCAACCCCAGCTGTTATGCCTGCTGCCCTGTTACTGATAACTTCCAGAAGACAACATTATGTTTCAAGTCAGCAGCTAATCATCGGAGGCTGGAGGTTGTGCAAAATAAGAATTTTATTCCATAATTAAAGCAAACAGCTGGGACTGGTATTCAGAACCTTTGGTATATACTCAGACCTCACCTGCCATATTCTTTTTGCTTTGATCAAAGTGAAACAAAAAAAAACCATAAAAATACATTGCCTATTTGTACTCCTCAAAGCAGTATCCTAAGAGAAAGCCTAGCATGAGTTAATTCACTAATTTTCTTTTTGTCATAAAATGAGAAGGTTAGAAGAATCTGCTAATGTTTGGTACTTCCCTTTTCACTACAGTACCTTTTCTACCCAAGATAATTCTCACCTTTGTGTTAGGATACAAGTGTTAGAGGAGTACATTATGTCAAATAGAGTCCTGACTCTGGTGAAAGTTGAAGCCCTAACCTCCCATAAAGAAAGCCCTAGACTCTTTGGGAATTGTTGATGTGGTACCTTCACCTGGTGATTGTTGGACCAGACACCCCACATGTGCATTAGTGAGGCCAGGGTCTTGGACAAAGAATGATTTAACTACATCGCTGGAACATGGCACATGAAAATCCAGAATTCTGGGTGTTCATACATTGGGCCCAGAGGCTTGGAATAGCTGAAGGCCAAAGGCCCAGGGTTGTGTCTGACTTGTACTTTCTGTGTTGATGGTAGACCCCTGAGGAACTGGATGATTCTGACTTCGAGACAGAAGACTTTGATGTGAGAAGTAGGACAAGTGTCCAGACAGAAGATGATCAACTGATTGCTGGCCAGAGTGCCCGGGTAAGGGACAAGTTTGACTTGTGTTCCCTGTCCCTCTGGGAACTCGGCTTTTTCTCTTCCAGGAAAACACTCTTGATTTTGAGAACACCATTTTCCCACTCTTTCTCTGGCAGCAGGACTCAAGTTAACCTAAGTTGTGGCACATGCTAGTCAGATATAGGTTCCTCCAGAATGTCTCCTCAGCTGGGAGCAGAGAGGAACATGGCACTGTGCCTCAGCTGTGCCCTGGGGCTTTGGTTTATGACAGAGCCCTGCATCGGGAAAGCCCTAGATCCAGTCAATGTAATGTTTGTTAAAAAGGATTGTGAAATTCGAAAAAGATTGCTGTCTTTGCCCATATCAATGCTACCATGGGTATAAACGATTTAATTATTCATGGGTTAAAAAAAAAAACAACAGTGGTACATTCAAGAAAATCATTCAGAGCCATTGCATTCATTTGAGTCATTAAATCTTCAATCAATAGCATTTATGTTTTTGGGAGGATGCCAAGAAATATTTCTATGGAGTCTTTTTCCCCTCCTTAGAAATTATTTTGAACAGCGAATGCATCCTTGCTTTGGGCCCCACTCCATCATGCGCACTTGGGGAAGCTGAGTGGGGAGAAGCCCAAGGCTTAGGAGTCTGTGGACCTTGAGGTGGGCACCAGGCCTCCAGGTGCTGCTTTGATAAGGTTTAAATGCCATGTCAAGTAACTAAAAGTAGCAGCACCGGAAATGCCCAGTCAGGACCCATAAGGCAAAGGGCTCCATGCATCAGCCCCTTCTCTTAAGTCCTCTCCCCATGGCAGCGGGCAGAGGATAAAATTCTAAAGAATTAAGTTAAGCAGGTTCTGTTCCTATACAGGTGTGATCTCCAACCTTCCCTATTAGCCTTCTAATCCCTCACACTGCGTTTTCCTCCACACAAAAACTTAAAAGTGGGTCGGAAATTCAGGCCGCTGTAAACTTCTCAAAATAAGAAGAAATGGACCTTTAGGCAAAATGAAACCTATTAAAGTATTATCCTACCTGTGTCATAGATTGCTTGGTAGAAATATTTGTGGCTAATGCACTGTGAGAACTTCATATTCTCTTTATGTAAGAGCTTTCTGTGCTTCTTATTTCAGGCGATCATGGCTCAGCTTCCCCAGGAGCAAAAAGCAAAGATTGCAGAACAGGTGGCCAGCTTCCAGGAAGAAAAGAGCAAGCTGGATGCTGAAGTGTCCAAATGGGACGACAGTGGTAATGACATCATCGTGCTGGCCAAGCAGATGTGCATGATCATGATGGAGATGACGGACTTCACCCGGTGAGCCGTGCCTGCCCCCCACCAATTGCACGGAGGGGAGCAGTAGGCTACTTGCAGAAAATCTTACTTTTCTGTTCATCTTCAGCTACATACAATGATCCTTATGCTTTTTTGTCAGAGGTAAAGGACCGCTCAAAAATACATCAGATGTGATCAGTGCCGCCAAGAAAATTGCTGAGGCGGGATCCAGGATGGATAAGCTCGGCAGAACCATTGCAGACCACGTGAGTGACAGGCTTGCTTCTTGGGTTCCTGAATTCATCACGGGACTGAGGGAGCCCAGCCAGGTCCATCCCAAGGTGGTGGTGACAAGATTTTTCTTGGAACACAGCACTCTGCTCCTCTCTAAAACTGTTCTTAACTCGTCAACTTGCTTGGTTAATACCAACATAGATTTTTAAAGGATATCTGAATTCCTCTTTTTTCTTTGCCATGTCTTAGCAGGCAGGCAGGACCAACTTGCATTAGAGCACCTCTTTGGAGCAGATGTGTGTGTCCTGCCAGTCATTACTGTGCAATGCTATTGCTTCTCTTTTCCTGCAGACCTTCAGCCTGGGGCAAGAGCTGCTTCTGTGGATCCTCACACACTGAATGAGCCTAGATAGACTTCTGCACTGCTTGTTCTTATTTATTTATTTATTTATTTATTTATTTATTTATTTATTTATTTAATTTTTAATTATTTTTATTTTTTTAAATTTACATCCAAATTAGCATATAGTGCAACAGTGATTTCAGGAGTAGATTCCTTAATGCCCCTTACCCATTTAGCCCATCCCCCCTCCCACAACTCCTCTAGTAACCCCCAGTTTGCTCTCCATATTTATGAGTCTCCTCTGTTTTGTCCCCCTCCCTATTTGTATATTATTTTTGCTTCCTTTCCCTTATGTTCATGTTTTGTCTCTTAAAGTTCTCATTTGAGTGAAGTCATAGGAATTTTGTCTTTCTCTAATTTCACTTAGCATAATAATACCCTCCAGTTCCATCCACGTAGTTGCAAATGGTAAGATTCCTTTCTTTTTGATTGCCGAGTCATATTCCATTGTATATATATATATACCACATCTTCTTTATCCATTCACCCATTGATGGACATTTAGGCTCTTTCCATACTTTGGCTATTGTTGAAAATGCTGCTGTAAACATGGGGTGCACTGCTTGTTCTTAACCACTGAGCCTTCGTCTCTTTTCCTTTGTCAGAAAATGTGGTTCCTATTTCCTCATTTACAGCACATTTCCCTGGATGCTCTAAGATTTACCAATGGGGACCGTGTTTGCACATTATAGTTTTTCTCCACAGATCCAGACCCGCCTCCCCAGCCCTCATCAGCCACTTTTCCTTGAAGCATCTAGGCTATAGGATGAATGGTAGTGGTTCCTCACCACCCAAGCCAAAGATTTAGAAGCCATTTTTGACTCACCTCTTTCATGAAATCCAGGACTAAGCCCTGGTGCTTCTCCTGGCCACACTTAATTGTGACAACATCCAGTGTTTTCCTTTCTGCAACCACCAGTTCAGCCCAAACCTCCACGGCCTGTATCTGGACTGCTGTGGCCTGTCCCCACCGATGCTGCCATCCACTCCCTTCTGCACACAGCCACCAACACCATCTTTTTGTAGCATCATCTTAACGTGCAGATCAGATATGGCTCTGTGCTTCCTCAGTAGCTTCTTAGAAAATGCAGAAGCTCCAGCATGGTCCGTAGGCCTATTTTATACCACCTGCTGACTCTGCACTCCAGCCTCACAGGAGGGAAGCATTTGCCGTAAACACTTGAGAGAGGTGCTCTATTTCAATGTTGGGATGAAACCTCCTAAAGTCACCCTGAGCTTAGGCAGCAAGACAGGAATTGGGCTGCTCTTGAGTTTCTCTGTGACTGGTCAAGACCTCACCATTCCCAGGTACTCTTTTTCTCACTTTGGTTTACTCATCCTCCATCTTTGCCTCAAGTGAACATTTCCTTTTATCAGATGTTTATAGTTTTCATCACAGTTTTGACCACATAAAGTGCCCCTAGCAGAAGAGCTATTCGGATGGTTATTATGTAGCTCCAAGCACTCTTGTCTCCAGAACCGGGCTTTTGCTTGCTGAGGTTTTTTTCTCACCTTGAGGGGCATGGGCCCTGCAGAGAGCAGTTTAGAGCTGGATAACTCATGTCTCTTGCCCTTTACTCCAGCAAGGAGAGAGGCGTCATGTCGGTGGCACCTGGGGGTGGGATGTGTTAGGGCCTGGAACTCTCAGGGCTGAACCTGCTGCTCTTCCTTCAGTGCCCCGACTCAGCCTGCAAGCAGGACTTGCTGGCCTACCTGCAGCGTATCGCCCTCTACTGCCACCAGCTCAACATCTGCAGCAAAGTCAAGGCTGAGGTGCAGAATCTCGGTGGAGAGCTCGTTGTCTCTG